GAAAACAGTATGCAGTTATTTTTAAATTAATTTATTTTTATTGAAGGATAATTTGTTTACAGAATTGTGTTGTTTTCTGTCAAAACTTAACATGAATCAGATATATATATATATATATATATATATCCCCTCCCTTTTGAACCTCCCTACTATTTCCCTCCCTGGTGGGCAGTTTTTTTAAAAAAGCTAAAAATACAGTTACCATACTATCCATCAATCCCACTACTGGGCATATATCCAGCTACGATGAAAACTCCCATTAGAAAAGAGACATGCACAACAGTGTTTATGTAGCACAATGTACAGTAGCAGAGACATGGAAGTAACCTTAAATCCCCATTGATAGGTGAATGGATAAAGAAAGATGTGTTATACATACAGTGGAATGTTTGCCATAAAAAAGAAAGATATAATGCTATTTTTGTTTCAACCTGGATGGACTTAGAGATGATCATATTAAGTGAAACAGAGCAGGATGAGTATCATATATCATTTATATTAAAAAATCAAAAAATAGTAGAAATAAACCTATTTATAAAACAGAAATAGTCACTGATGTAGAAAACAAGGAGAATGTGAGGGAGGCATAAAGTGAGACTAAGTGCTTAATAGATTCCCATTACAATATATGAAAGAAACAACAAGGATTTTCTGTATTTCACAGGGATTATATTCAATGTAATAGCCTATAATGATAGGGAATAAAAAAGAGTATAATAGTTCCTTAGTTGTGGTGCAACTAAGTACATACACCACTACTGAGCCCTTGCTATAGAGCCTGAGAGCTGCAACTACTGAAGCGTGTGTGCCTAGAGCCCACATTATGCAACAAGAAAAGTCATGCCATGAGAAATCAAGAATAGTCTCCCCTCACCCAACAAGAGATAAGCTTGAGCAGCAAGAAGACACAGCATAGTCAAAAATAAATAAACATAATTTTTTAAAAATGCTTCAACAAAAGAAGTCCAGGACCAGATGGCTTCACAGACACTTTTATTAAACATTTAGAGAACATCTAATATCTATCCTTCTCAAGCTTTTCCAAGAAGCTGTAAAGAGAGCAACACTCCAAAACTCATTTTAGAGGGCCACCATCACCCGGATACCAAAACCAGACAAATATCACAATAAAAGGAAAGTTATAGACCACTCTCGCTGATGAACGTAGGATACAAAATCCTTCAAAGAAAATACTAGCAAAGAGAATCCAACAATATATTAAAAAGATCATATACCTTGATCAAGTGGGATTCATCCAAGGGATGCAAAAAGTCTTCAATATTTGCAAATTTATCAATGTTACACACAATATTAATTAATTGATGAATAAAAACTATCTAATCATCTCAATAGATGCAGAAAAGCTTTTGACAAAATTCAATACATATTTAGGACAAAAACTCTCCAGAAAGTGGGCACAGAGAGAACACACTTCAACAAAATAAAGGTGGCATTAAATAAACAAAAACAGCAAACATCATTCTTAATGCTGGAAAAGTAAAAGTGTTTTAAGATCAGGAGCAAGACAAGTATGCCCACTGTTGCCACTATTATGTAGTATAGTTTTGGAAGTCCTACCATGGCAATCAGAGAAGAAAAAATAAAGGAATACAAATTGGAGAAAAAAAAAAAGTAAAACTGTCACTTTTGCAGATAACATGTTACTATATGCAGAAAATCCTAAAGATGCCACCAAAAAATAACTAAAGCTAGTCAAATAATTTGGCAAAGTTGAAGGATATAAAATTAATGCACAGAAATCTCCTTCATTCTTATACACTTATGAAGGAAGATCAGGAGGAGAAATTGAGGAAATAACCCTATTTACCTACAGAACAAAAATAATAAAATACCTAAGAATAAATCTATGGAGACCTACAAGACTTTTAAAATTAACATCCCCAAAATATGTCCTGTTCATTATACGGGACTAGAATGCAAAAGTGGGAAGTCAAGAAACGTCTGGAGTAAGATGGAAATTTGGCCTTGGAGTACAGAATAAGGCAGGCAAAGGCTAATAGAGTTTTGCCAAGAGAACACACTGGTCATAGCAAACACCTTCTTCCAAAAACACAAGAAAATACTCTACACATGCACATCCCCAGATGGTCAACACCAAAATCAGATTGATTGTATTATTTGGAGCAAAAGGTGGATAAGCTCCATACACTCAGCAAAAACAAGACCAGGAGCTAGCTGTGGCTCAGATCATGATCTCCTTACTTCCAAATTCAGACATAAGTTGAAGAAAGTGGGGAATATTGACCTAAATCAAATCCCTTATGACCATACACTGGAAGTGAGAAATAGATTTAAGGGACTAGATCTGATAGATTGTCTGGTGAACTATGGATGGAGGTTCATGACATTGTACTAGAGACAGGAATCAAGACCATCCCCAAGAAAAACAAATGGAAAAAAGCATAATGGCTGTCCGAGGAGGCCTTACAAAAACTGTGCAAAGAAGAGAATAGCTGTGCAAAGAAGAGAAGTGAAAAGCAAAGGAGAAAAGGAAAGATATTCCCATTTGAAGGCAGAATTTCAAAGAATAGCAAGGAAAGATAAGAAAGCTTTCCTCAGTGACCAGTACAAAGAAATAGAGGAAAACAATAGAATGGGATAAAGTAGAGGTCTCTTCAAGAAAATTAGAGATACCAAAGGAACATTTCATGCAAAATGGTCTCAATAAACAATATAAATGGCATGGATCTAAGAGAAGCAGAAGATATTAAGAAGACATGGAAACAACAAACAGAAGAACTGTACAAAAAAGATCCTATGACCCAGATAATCATGATGGTGTGATCATTCACCTACAGCCAGACACCCTGGAGTGAAGTCAAGCAGACCTTCGGAAGCAGCGGAGGTGATGGAATTCCACCTGAGCTATTTCAAATCCTTAAACATGATGCTATGAAAGTGCTGCACTCAATATGCCAGCAAATCTGGAAATATGAGCTGTAGCCACAGGACTGGAAAATGTCAGTTTTCATTTAATCCCAAAGAAATAGTACTGGCAAAGAATGCTCAAACGACCACACAATTGCACTCATCTCACAAGCTAGTAAAGTTATGATTAAAATTCTCCAAGCCAGGACCAAACAATACATGAAGAGCCAGATGTTAAAGCTAGATTTAGAAAAGGCAGAGGAACCAGAGATTAAATTGTCAACATCCACTGGATCATCAAAAAAACAAGAGATTTCTAGAAAAACATCTATTTCTACTTTATTGACTATGTCAAAGCCTTTGACTGTGGGTCACAATAAACTGTGGGAAATTCAAAAGAGATGGGAATACCAGACCACCTGACCTGCCTCTTGAGAAAACCGTATGCAGGTCATGAAGCAAAAGTTAGAACAGGATATGGAGTAACAGACTGGTTCCAAATAGGAAAATGTACATCAAGTTTGTATATTGTCACCCTACTCATTTAACTTATATGCAGAGTATATCAGAGAAACGCTGGGCTGGAGGAATCATAAGCTGGAATCAACATTGCTGGAAGAAATATCAGTAACACTGGATATGCAGATGATACCACCCTTATGACAGAAAGTGAAGAACTAAATAGCCTCTTGATAAAAGGCAAAGAGGAGAGTGAAAAAGTTGGCTTAAATCTCAACTTAAATCTTCAGGAAACTAAGGTAAAGTCATCCAGTCCTATCACTTCATGCCAAATAGAAGGGGAAACAGTGGCAGATTTTATTTTTGGGGTTCCAAAACCACTGCAGATAGTGACTGCAGCTGTGAAATTAAAAGACACTTACTCCTTGGAAGGAAAGTTATGACCAACCTAGATAGCACATTAAAAAGCAGAGACATTACTCTGTCAGGAAAGGTCCATCTAGTCCAGGTTATGGTTTTTCCAGTAGTCATGTACGGATGTGAGAGTTGGACTACAAAGAAAGATGAGTGTCAAAGAATTGATGCTTTTGAACTGTGGTGTTGGAGAAGACGCTTGAGAGTCCCTTGGACTTCAAGGAGATTCAACCAGTCCATCCTAAAGGAAATCAGTATTGAGTGTTCCTTGGAAGGACTGATATTGAAGCTGAAACTCCAATACTTTGGCCACCTGATGCTAAGAGCTGACGCATTGGAAAAGACACTTACGCTGGAAAATATTCAAGGCAAAAGAGGAAGGGGATGACAGATGACGAGATGGTTGGTTGGCATCACTAACTCAATGGACATGAGTTTGGGTAAAGTCCAGGAGTTGGTGATGGACAGGGAGGTATGGTGTTTTGCAGTCCATGCAGTGTCAAGGAGCTCGACACAACTGAGTGACTGAACTGAAGTGAATAAACCCACCTAAGGAAGCCAAAGACCTGTACTCAGAAACATTAGTGAAAACAAAAACAAAATCAAAATTGACACAAACATATGGAGAGCTCTACCATGTTTTTAGATAGGAAGAACCATATTGTGAAAATTACCACCAAATGCAATCTATAGATTCAGTACATTCCTTATCAAAATGCCAACAGAATTTTTCACAGAATTAGAACTTTTTTTTTTTTTTTTTTTTTTTTACAATGTGTGTAGAAACATAAAAGAGCCCAATTAGGCAAAACAATCTTGAGACATAAAAACAGAGCTGGAGGAATCAGGCTTGATGACATCAGACTATACTACAAAGCTACAGTAATCAGTACAGTGATATTGGCACAAAAATACAAATACCAATCAATGGTAGAAGAAGGAAAGGCCAGAGATAACATCTATACACCTATGGTTGTCTAATCTATAACAAGGGAGGATAGAACATACAATGGAGAAAGGATAGTGTATTCAATAAGTGATGCCAGGAAAGCCGTATAGCTACATGCCAAATAATTAAATTGGAACACTACCTGACATCATACAAAGAAATAGTGTGGGTCAAAGATCTAATGTTAGACCAGACACTATAAAATGCATAGCGGAAAACGGAGGCAGACGGGGGCGACCCTGGCAGCAGCGGCGGCGGGGGAAGCGGGAGCCTCCTGGGATGTTCAGTCATGAAACGGGTCGGCACCGAGCAGATCCAGATGGCCGTGTCCTGCTACCTCAAACGCCGGCAGTTCGGCGATGCGGATGGCCCACTGAAGCAAGGCCTGCGGCTGTCACAGAGCACCGAGGAGATGGCTGCCAGCCTTGCAGTCAAATCAGAATCTGGTTGTGCCAACATAGTGTTCGCAGCCCCTTGCCAGGCAGAGCCCCAGGAGTATGAAGTACAGTTCGGATGGCTGCGGAATTTTCTCACCGATTCTGATTCCCAGCACAGCCACAAAGTGATGCCTCTCCTCTACCCTCTCTTTGTCTACCTCCATCTCAACCTGGTCCAGAACAGTCCGAAGAGCACAGTGGAAAGCTTTTACAGCCGCTTCCATGGAATGTTTCTGCAGAACGCCAGCCAGAAGGATGTCATCGAGCAGCTCCAGACCACACAGACCATCCAGGACATCCTGTCTAACTTCCGGCTGCAAGGCTTCCTGGACAACAAGTATGAGGTTCGTCTGCAGGAAGACAGCTACAACTACCCTCTCCGCTACCTCCAGAGTGACAACAACACCGCGCTGTGCAGGGTCCTCGCCTGGCACATCCACCTGGACATGCAGCCTGCCAAGAGGACCGACTACCAGCTCTACGCCAGCGGGGGCTCTTCCCACAGCGAGGGCGGTGGCCTGGAGCCCGCCGACTTGCCGGCGCCCATCCTGTAGAATGAGGCCACGCTGGAGCTCCTGCAGGAGAGCATCAAGCGCGTCAAGGACAGCACCCCCTCGCTCACCACCATCTGTTTCTATGCCTTCTACAACACAGAGCAACTGCTGAACACTGCAGAGGTCTCCCCGGACAGAAAGCTGCTCGCGGCAGGATTCAACAACTCCTGTATAAAACTGTGGAGTCTGCGCTCCAAGAAGTTAAAGTCAGAACCCCATCAAGGAGACGTGTCCCACATCCACTTGGCTTGTGATATCCTCGAGGAGGAGGATGACAGGGACGACAATGCAGGCAAGGAGATGAAGGTCCTATGGGGACACTGTGGGCCAGTGTACAGCACCAGGTTTCTCGTGGACAGCTCAGGGCTGCTCTCCTGCTCTGAAGACATGTCCATCAGGTACTGGCACCTGGGCAGCTTCACCAACACCGTGCGGTACCAGGGCCATGCCTACCCCGTATGGGACCTGGACATCAGCCCGCACAGCCTGTACTTCGCCAGCGGGTCCCACGATCGCACGGCCCGGCTGTGGTCATTTGATCGGACGTACCCACTGCGAATTTATGCCGGGCACCTGGCAGACGTGGACTGTGTCAAGTTCCACCCCAGTTCAAACTACCTAGCCATGGGCTTGACCGATAAGAAGGTGCGGCTGTGGAGTACCCAGCAGGAGAACTCAGTGAGGCTCCTCATGGTCCACCGTGGCCCTGTGCTTTCCCTGGCCTTTTCCCCCAACGGTAAGTACCTGGCGTCCGCAGGCGAGAACCAGCGGCTGAAGCTGTGGGACCTGGCATCTGGGACCCTCTACAAAGAACTGCGGGGCCACACGGACAACATCACCAGCCTGACCTTCAGCCTGGACAGCAGCCTGATCGCGTCCGCATCCATGGACAATTCAGTGCACGTCTGGGACATCAGAAGCGCACACTGCAGCACCCCCGTGGACGGCTCGTCCAGCGAGCTCGTGGGTGTCTACACTGGCCAGATGAGCAATGTTCTGAGCGTGCAGTTTATGGCCTGCAATCTCCTGCTGGTGACCAGAATCACACAAGAAAGTCAGGAACATTGATTTGGATCTTTGATATGACAGACTGGGGCATGCGAAGGGCGCCAGACGGCAAATCTTAGGAGAGACAGAATCACTGACTGACTGTGAAAGACTCCCCGTGTCCCCCCTTGCCCTGCCGGTGTCCCGAACCCACCACTCTCCACTCAGCCCCCAGGTGTGGAAGCACAGGGGCAGGAAGGGTGGTGACGGGGAGCACACGTGAGATAAGAATCACGGAGATCCCACTGTGTCCTCGTGTGGCCCCTCCCTATCTCTGGCACCAAGGTGCCCTTGCCTCGCTTGGGGCTGCACTTGACCTGAGGATGTTTGCCAGGCACCCTCCCCAGGAGCAGTGACGCAGGGTCACCAGAGTGGAAGGGACTCTCTCCAGGGAGGAATGCAGGGTGAGAATTAGGCAAGGGAGCAGGGTCATCCTGGCAAATGTTTTTCCTTTTCTGTGATTACAGAGAACCAGAACTGTTTACTATTGTTATTATAACTATTACTGAGAAGAGGAGACCTAGCACTGGCAGAGGGGGCTTCTCTGCTCTCATCTTTCAGGTCTTATCTCCTGGCACTGGTTGTGACACTTGGAGTTTTGAGGTTCAGGGAATTGAGAGAACTTGGTGGCACAGTGTGTTGCAAGAAAGGGAAATCTCCTGAGTGACAGCTGGATCACTCCAGCTGACACGTTTCTGGAAGTGTGTGGGCGGATTTGACTGAGAAAGTCTTGGGCTCTTGCAGCAGTGGTGTGAAAGAAAGATTCTTTTTGTGGCTGCACTTCTATTAACAATTCTCTCCCCCAAAAGGTCGGATTGTGGTAAAGAAATGAAAATTATTAGAAGTGAAAAATCAAAAGAAAGAATTAAAAACTGTTGAATTTTAAAAAAAAATGCCAATAGAATTTTTCACAGAATTAGAACTTTTTTTTTTTTTACAATTTGTGTAGAAACATAAAAGAGCCCAATTAGGCAAAGCAATCTTGAGACATAAAAACAGAGCTGAAGGAATCAGGCTTGCTGACATCAGACTATACTACAAAGCTACAGTAATCAGTACAGTGATATTGGTACAAAAATACAAATCCAATCCATGGTAGAAGAAGGAAAGGCCAGAGATAACATCTATACACCTATGGTTGTCTAATCTATAACAAGGGTGGATAGAACATACAATGGAGAAAAGATAGTGTATTCAATAAGTGATGCCTGGAAAGCCGTATAGCTACATGCCAAATAATTAAATTGGAACACTACCTGACATCATACAAAGAAATAGTGTGGGTCAAAGATCTAATGTTAGACCAGACACTATAAAATTCATAGAGGAAAACAGGAAAAACACTCTTTGACATAAATCACAGCCTTTTTAGACATCTGGTATAATAGTGAAAATAAAAACAAACAAATGGGAGATAATCTTTAACCCCTTTCCATTGAAAAGGAAACCATAAACAAAATTAAAAGACACCCCTTAGAATGAAAGAATTTATTTGCAAACAAAGTAACAAAGGATTCATCTTCAAAGTACACAAAGAGCTCACGAAGTCAGTATCAAAACACAAACAACCTAACCAAAAAATGGGCAAGGGAACCCCCAGTGTTCTAGTGGTTCAGAATCCCACTGCCAATGCAGGGGTCAAGGATTTGATCCCTGCTCTGCAAAGACTGCACTTGCCAAGGGGCAACTAAGCCCATGCACCACAACTACTAAGCCCACACACTGCAACAACTGAAACCTGCAAGCCCTAGAGCCTTGCTCTGCAACGAGAGGAGATGCCACAATGAGAACTCCTCATGCTGGAACAAAAGAGGACCCCACTCACCACAATTAGAGAAAAATCCATGCACAGCAAGGAAGACACAGTGCAGCCAAAACTTAATAAATGCAAAAAATAATCATAAAAGGGCAGAAGACCTAAACAGACATTTCTCCAAAGATAATATACAGATGGCCAATAGGTACAAGAAAAGATATGTGATATCCCTAATTATTAGACAAATGCAAATCAAAACTAATGAGGTATCATGCCATACCATCAAATGTCTACATTTGATGTCACCATCAAATGTCTACAAATAGCAAATGCTGGAGAGGATGTGGATGGAAAGGAACCCTGCTACACACTTCGTGTGAATGCAAGTTGGCGCAGCCACTATGGGAAACAGTATGGAAGCTCCTCAGATAAGTAAAACTAGAATTATCAAATGATCCAGAAATTCCATTCCTGGGCATAAACCCAGACAAAAGAGTAATGTAACAATATATATGCACTCCAATGGTCAAAGCAGCACGATTCACAATAGCCAAAATACAAACACATCCTTAATCTCCACTGACAGATGAATTAATAAACAAGAAGTGGTACATATATAAAATCCTATAGTACTCAGCCATAAAAAATTGAAATGATGTCATTTGCAGCAACATGGATGAACTGAGAGATTATCATACAAAGTGAAATAAGCCATTCAGAAAAAGAGAAATACCAAATGACACCACTTATATGTGGAGTCCAAGTATGGCACAAATGAACATATCTATGAACGGAAACAGACTCATGGAAACAGAGAACAGACCTATGATTTCCAAGAAGGAGGGGGTTGGAGTGGGAAGAATAGTAGGTTGAGGTTAGCAGATGTAAACTATTAGATATGGGATGTGTAAACAGCAAGATCCTACTGTAGAGCAAAGAGAACTATATCCAGTATCCTATGATAAACCATATTGAAATAAAATATAAAAAAGAATGTATATGGGACATCCCTGGTGGTCTAGTAGCTATGACTTCACACTTCCACTGCATGGGGTGTGGATTCAATTCCTGGTCAGGAAACTAACACAAAATACCCTGAAGCAGAACCAGAGGGGAAATTTTTTTTTTTAAGATTAAAAAATGTGTATATATATATATATATATATATACACACACACAATTTTTTATACATACATATATGTGTATAACTGAATCACTCTGCTGTAAAGCAGAAATTAACACAGTATTGTATACTGCAATAAATAAAAACATGAAAAGGGAAAAAAAAAGATTGGTGTATTCATTGTATGTAAAGTTTATGTCCAAAGAAAAGTTCTATAAAGAAATATTGCTTACTACTTCATGACAGGCTTGCTGAAATACTTGTGGAGATGCATCCTGCTGTTTGCAATTTATCACAAAATATACAAAGGAATAAGATTCATTGATGGATGGATAGAGGGATGGACACATAAATAGACACATGAGAAAGGAAGTAAATTACAGTGGAATCTAGGTGGGAAGTCTTTGTGTATTAGCTAGAAAACATGTTCAACATTGTTTAACATTTGGAAATTTTTATAAAGTGTTACAGAAAGTACAGAGCAAAGAACAATGCAAACCAAAGTGCACATGAAATATTATTTCAAACATTAAAAATATGAGCTAAAAATGATGCAGAGGAGATAGGCTAAAATATTGTGTGCTCAGTCCCTTAATCGTGTCTGGTTCTTTTGCAACCCCATAGACTGTAGCCTGCTGGGCGCCTCTCACTAGAGCATACTCCAAGCAAGAATACTGGAGTGGGTGACTATTTCCTTCTTCATGTAATCTTCCTGACCCAGGCATCTAACTCTTGACCTCTGCATATGCAGGTGATTTCTTTACCACTTAGTATCCAAGGAAGCCACAACATATGAACTGTAGTGAAATTAAACATGATTTTTATTTTTTTTCATACTCTGTGCACTGATCAAAGTCTTTCCCCAATATCCACAGAACACATTTTTCATAATAAAAGTAGCATCATCTTCCCTCTGGCACAAGGAAGACAGGCCTACTGGGCACAGGCCTGCTTGTGCTCCCCTCGTTGTGTCCTGGGCTGTGTGAACCTGCTGGGGCTCCCAAAGCCCTCCAATCATAGCTCTAGAGATGTGTCCCCATTGGCTTCAAGGAGCTGACCAAGCCTATGGCTGATTCATCTGTTTGGAGTCCGAGGTGCAGCCACACCTGTCCTAGCTCCATCTTGGCCCATCATGGCGGTACCCTCTTCCACTATACATATGTATATGCATATATATATATGTATATATATATATAATTTCAGGATAAAATAAATAGTTTACTGAAAAGTACATGCAACATGGCTGTACAAAAAGTGCACAGGTGAAGTCAGAGAGTTACCTCTCCTCCCAGCAATCTTTCAACCTACACCCTCTAGTTTCTGAAGTTTTCTTGGTTATTTAAATTTCTTAATTTAAGTGATCTTTGCCCAGTAGGTAAAAAGGGGAAATTTACACTTTGTACAAAAATTCCCATGTAGGTAAATAAATAATAAACAAGAATTACAAAATGACAAATGAGAAATATTTGGATTATAGCTGACAAAGGGCACATTTACCTAATTTATGCAGAGTTCAAAAGTTAAATTAAGAAAAGAAGATGAAAAACCCAAATAGAAGACAAAAATGAAGTAAACAAAGGGAACACAGAAGTACAAATTACTCAGAAGAAAAATAAGAAAAGTTACCAAAAACAGGAGGAAATGTTGAAATTAATTGCTCAGGAAGGAAATGCAAACCAGAACGATAATGGAATATGATTTCTCACCGTACAAATTGCCAAAAGTTCAGTGAAAGTGTGTGATACCAAACGTTTCCTCCAGCTTGAGGATAAGAGGTTGTGAAATGACTGCCGATGAATTGTTTTGGAAGCATAACGTGATGCAAGTTTCAGAAGGACAATTTAGCTGTAGTAAATTTATCGGAGAAGGCAATGGCACCCCACTCCAGTACTCTTGCCTGGACAAGCCCATGGACGGAAGAGGCTGGTGGGCTGCAGTCCATGGGGTCGTGAAGAGTCAGACATGACTAAGCAATTTCACTTTCACTTTCACTTCCATGCATTGGAGAAGGAGATGGCAACCCACTCCATTTGCCTGGAGAATCCCGGGGACGGTGGAGCCTGGTCGGCTGCCATCTGTTGGGGTCACATAGAGTCGGACAGGACTGAAGTGTCTGAGCAGCAGCAGCAGTAAATTCATAAA